GACCGCCCACCAGCTAGCTGTTGGTCTTTCCCCAAGCCATCCCTTCCTGTCCTGTGCCTCAAAGCCCACTGTTCTGTGCCTGGCATCTTTTGATCTATTCCTCCCGTAGCCTTTCCCCATTCTCCCCCCAGGGGGCACCCCAGCTCCCAGGAAGAAGTTGGATGCCTCTTAGGCCCATTCTCTAGCTTTGGGCTATGGCACAACTCTAGGGTTCCCGGGAGAACCAGGAGGGGAGCCTAACCATGGGAGGCACCCAGGAAGCAAAGGTGCCACTGTGGGACGGCTTTATTGTGGTGGTGGGGTCACAAATAATCTTAGAATTGCTGGACTTGGATGTTGTCACTTAAGGGTGGGATAGGCTGGGCTGGAGTTCTGTTGTCGAGGGACACGGAGACAGAGGCAAGGGAAGAGTTCGCCGTTTGGTGAGGCGTGGTCTTGGGCAGGACAGGTGCCTGGTGGTCTTCAAACTCCACGGGATTCTCCAATATCGGGGGCTCCCGTGGGATGGTGGAGCCAACGAAGACCACGTAGATGATGCCACCTAAGTAGGCACCGAGGAGTGGTGCCACCACTGGCACCCACCACCAGTTCTTAATCCTGCAGGCAAGAGGCAGAGGCCTGGTGAGGGGGCTGACACCAGCGGTAGCAGCTGCATCCACCTCACGTCGAGACTGGGAAGTAGGCCTGAGGGTAGAGGAGTGGCCCCCATCCTAACCCAGGAGTCACCCCTGAGCCTGAGACACTGGTCAGCTTCACCCTGATTCAGGGACAGGAGCTGATCTGGGGCAGGATTTACGTTCAGTCCAGAAGCAGGATCTGCATCCGTGCTAATCAGAGGGGAGGTTGGGACCCACTCCCGCCTCCCCAGACCACCTGGCAGCTCTGCAGGACTCTGCCATGCTGTTCCTCATATCGCCCCCGCCCCTCCACGCGCAGGAAGCCCACAGAAAGCTCCAAGGAGTGGGCTGGGCTGGACACTACCTGAAGACCTCTGTGCCCCAACCGGCAATGAAGGTGAAGAAGCGGGGAGGCAGGTCCCGGGATGGGTTGATGGCATATCCTGTGTTCATGCCCAGAGACACTCCAATGATGACGACAAGGATGCCAATCACCAGGGCCTGTGTCCCTGGCAGGGCTGGGTTGTTACGTTTGTCCGTGATGGCGAAGAGACACAGCTGGAGCATCCCCGTGACGAATACCTGGGGAACAGACGTCACAGCAGCCACCCAGGGCCCCTCGCCAACCCAGGGCCTCAGCAGTGCTCCCAGGCTGAACCCCCTGGCAGAGTACAGTTTCCATCAGAGTTCCTATCCCTCTATGGCGAGGGGCTGCCTGGCAGCCCCTTTCTGAGGTGGGGAGAGCATATAGAGGGACAACCACCCGGAACCACTGACCTCATCCAGGAAGCCCTGCCACAGCGTCATGTAATCAGGAAGGTAAGTGGCAAAGATGTTAGCAGTGGCTACAGGGCCGGTCGCTGTCAGATGTCCGCCCGTGAAGTCCATAATGGCCGCTGTGGAGACATTAGAGTGTGAAACTGCCCCTAATTCCTTCAGCCCCAGTGTAGCTCCAGAAATAAGGATGGAGCATCTCCAGGGCTTTTCCCTCCCAGACATTTTCACAGGCCAGGATGCTGAGACCAGATCTGCCCATATTTCAGAGGAGGAGGCTGAGGTCAGAAGTGGACAACCCAGGACAGGACACTCACCGTAGAAGATGCCATAGATGCTGGCAGCAGCCAAGAAGGAGCCCACGAACTGACCCAGTACATACACAGGGAACTTCTTCCAGGGCAAGCGGCCCAGTGCACAGTTGGTGAAGGTCACCGCTGCGTTCATGTGGGCCCCTGCAGGGTGGGCAAGTGTGTCGGGAGAGTGAGAGCAGACCCAACAGCAGCAGCAATATGGAGAGCCCCAGCAATAACAATGAGGCAAGCGTTTATGCAGTGCACGCTCACTTAACTCTCACAAGGACCCGAGGCAGAGACCACCATCTCCATTTGATCATTAAGGGAAGTGAGGAGTAAAGAACTTAAATAGCTTGGCTAAGTTGACCCAGCTTGTAAAAATGGTAGGTCAAGAAGGCCCTTGAAAGATCTGGGTATGAAGGGGCGTTTTGGGTATGCTCCCTCCAAGTGGGCAGTTGGGTGAGGTGCTGGATGACTGGGAGAAGGGATGGCTGGAGGTGGGCAGGAAGGACCTGCAGGGGATTCCTGGCCTTGACAGTCGGGCGGGGCCCAGGCTCACTCACCAGAGATATTCCCTGCCACGTGTACTCCAAGGGCGACTCCGAAGCCAAAACCCAAGTTGACACCGAGGAAGCTCCCAAATTTTTCTCCTAGAACCATATGGGCCACGGAGCCAAGGCCAAACACCTGCAAGGGAGGGCCTCTGAGGGGACTGCCTCCCAGAATCCCCAGCCTCAGAGGAGGGCTCAGAGCTCAGTTCGGGCTCCTCACCCTTATGCCCTGGGCCTCCCCGAATTGCCCTGGGAGACCCTCTGCCATGCCCTCTTCCTCCAGAGACTTCCCTCCTCATGACCTCTCCCATGGTCCCCGTCAGGGCCTCTAAGACCTGACCAGAGAGCTGAGTGGGGAGTGTAAAAGCAGCCAATGTGGGATAGCTGAGTCAGAGGCTCTTATGGACACATCCATACCCCCAGACCCCAAGTCCACCTGAAGTTCAGGGATGGCAGGGCTCTGAAGAGGACCTGGCTGCAGTGGATTGAATCCCTCAGAGCATCTCACACTTCAGCCTAGCCTGAAGGAAGATTCTTCAAGGGATCTCCAAACTTCATGCCTGGAGTCTGTCATGGCCCCCACCCACACCAGCCCTGGAAGCCAGTGGGGTTCTTACTCGCACCCTTAGCAACATTTCTATTGTCCTTATGTGTAATTCCTAAACTTCTAGCTCTTACCCACGCCTAACTGCGAGGTCTCAGGTGGCACCCCCAATGACTCCCTTTGCAGGAGAATAGAGGCCTGAAGCTAGGCCCTCACCTCCTACAGCCACCCATCTGAATCTCTAGCTGCCTAGCTCTTCAGCTCTGATACCTGCACCAGCCTCTCCCTTCCTCTGCAGAGGCCTCCCTCTCGCCTGTATCTTCCACCCTCCCCTTGACTGGCTCCCACAGACTCATGTCTCTTCCTTCCTAAAAGTAAACCTTCCCACCTCAGCCCAGCCTTCCTGTCCACCTGTGGACACCTCTTCCCCTCCTGTCAGTCAGGCTCCAGGAAAGAACCCATTGCCTGGCTCTTTTATTCCCTTGCTCTCCCTCCTCAATCTGGCTTTTGCTTCCACATCTAACCAAGAACTTCAACCCTCTGATTTCCCCAAAGGCCGCTTCAGACATTGTCTTACCTGACTCTGCTGACTTCGACTCTCTTAACCACACTGCTCCTGGAAAGTCCCTCCTCTCAGCCTCCATGACATGTCTCCCTCATGGTTTTCCTGCTACCTTCCTCTAACTGTACAGGCGTCTTCAAACTACGGCCCGCAGGCCACATGCGGCCCGCAGAGGAGTCTGATCCGGCCCGCCAGGTTTTTTGGGCAGTGAGCGCAGCCGAGGTGTTACAGTAGGAATTAGTAGTTCATATAGTCCGGCCCTCCAGCTCTCTGAGGGACCGTGATCTGGCCCCCACTTTAAAAAGTTTGAGGACCCCTGCAAGTCTAACAGTTCCTTCCCACAACTTTTTCCTTCTTCTGCTTCATGAGTGTAGATGGTCTCAGGCCTCCGTCCCTGGCCCCTTTCATGTCTCGCCCCAGTCACTCTTCTTGAGTCTTCTTACCGGGTCTATGGCTTCAGCTATGCCTATTGCACTAAAATTCCCAAAACCTGCACCTGGGAGCCAGATCCCTATTTCCCAATACCCGTTGGAAGTCTGGGTGTTCCCAGGCATCTTGGACTCTGTTGAAAGCTCACCTTCTCAGAAAAGGTGATCCTCATCCTATGTTCCCCATTTCAGTTGGCCAAACCAGAAACTTGGATGTCACAAATGAGAGCTTTCTCTCCCCTCTCCCCCACACCCAAACAGTTATGTTTACATTCTTCCCAGATCTTCTTCAGCCTCCTCCTCACAGCCAGAGTGACCTTTCAACACAGAGTTCTGATCATGCCAGCCCCGCATTCAAACATTCACCGGCACCCCTTCGTTTCTAGGATAAAGTCCAAGCTCAGTAGGCCTCCACTCAAGACTCTTTAATTTCTGCCTCTCAGTTTCATATCTGCTCCAACATTCTCTATGTTCAGCAGTAGTATTACCACTAAATAATAATAACCACTTATTGAAAATTTACTATGTGCCAGGCACTGGTAAACATTACATCTCCACTTCCTTTAACCCATAACACCAACATATGCATTAGGTACTATTAGTCTCTCCATTTGACAGATGGACAATCCAAGGCTTAGAGAAGTTGAGTGACTTGGCCAAAGTACGAAGCCTGCACATAGCCAGAATTTGAATCCCAGGCAGTCCTAAGCCAGACAGCCTGAAACCAAACAATCACACTGCTCCCTGCATGCCTCTGTTTTTCCATATGCTATTCCCTCTGTCTGGAATACCTGATCCTAGATCCTGACAAAATGGCATTCTGCTTTAAGGCCACACACAGCACCTCCTTTAAAAAGCCCATGTGTTTTGGACATGTTGACTCCTAGGAACCTCTGGGTGTCCAGACTTGCTGGAAATCAGAGTTTGGATGTGTATCATCCAATGTGACGACCACCAGCCACATGTGGCTATTATGTGCTTGGAATGTGGCTCGTCCAAGCTGAGATCTGCTTTAAGGGTAAAGTACAAATTCATGAAAGACTTGGTAGGAAAAGGAGAATGTAGAATCTCATTAATAATTGTATATTGGTTGCATGTTGAACTGGTAATATTTTGGCTCTATAGGTGAAATATAATAGTTATTAAAATTTGTTTCATTTGTCACTTTTTACCTTTTTAAAACATTTAAAATTACCTATATGGCTCCTATTGTATTTCCCTTTGGTAGTTCTAGAGTTTTCGAAAAAGATAACTTGGAGAATGGTGGACATGAGGACTATTTCTGAAGCAACAGGGAGGAGGAAAGCGGGAGAGAGAATGCAGAGTGAGAAGGCACCCGAGGGCTGAGCCTGGAGGGCATTAGATGTGCTCGCTGCAGCAGGGGTTGACATGAAAGAAGAACCAAGAGAAACTGTGTCCTGGACATCAGGGAGAAGCAGCGTTTCCAAGGAGGGTGTGGCCCACACAGTCCGGTGCAGCCTTTGGGTCAAGTTCATGAAGGCCTAGAAAGCCTCCCTTTGGATGGGACAAGCCAGAGGTCATTGATAACGTGGTGAGCACTGTATCCTCAGGCCAGGGGGACGGGAGCCAGGTCTTGGAGGCTGAGGTGAGTAAGCTGAGAGGAAGAGGTGAAGGGCTCCAGGCTAGACTGCCCTTTGGGAACCTGCCTGAGAAGGAAGGGAGCGAGAACGTGATAAACAAAGGGCTCGTGGGACGAAGGGAGGGGCGTTTTGTTCTGTGTGGCGCTGTTTTAAGGAGAGAGGCTTGGGTATGTTACGACCCAGAGAGGGAGAGGCTGGAGATGAAGGGGAGAGAGGAAGGACAGGTTAAAGTATCTCAGTAGACTGAGGGAGGGGACTGACAGGGTTAAAGGAGGGGCCCTGCCTGAGGGTAGGGGGAGAAATGTGGATGGATACACAGGTAGGTGTGTTCTGGTGGTGAGAGGGACAGGTGGGTAAGGAGCCAGACACAGAAGCCCGCCTGATGGTTTTCTCTTTCAAGCTGAAGGCCAATTATGCTGAGTGAAGTAAGCCAGTCAACGAAAGAAAAACACCACATGACCTCACTCATTTATGGATAATAAAGAACATAATAAACTGATGAACAAAAAGATAGATACAGAGACAGTGAAGCAACAAACAGACTGTCAAATTATAGCGGGGAGGGGAGGGAGATATGGGGGAGATAAGAGATCAACCGAAGTACTTGTATGCATGCAAATAAGCATAACCAATGGACGCAAAACTCTGGGGAGGGAGGGCATGTATGGGAGTGGGGGGGGGCAATGGTAAGATATGTACACATAAAATACCTTAATAAAAGAAATGGGGGAGGGGGGAGAAAGCTGGAGGCCAAGCCATTTGCTGATTTAGAAAATAGGCAGTCCATGCTAGCCAGTTTGGGTCAGTGGATAGAGTGTCGAACTGTGGACTGAAGGGTCCCAGGATCGATTCTAGTCAAGGGCACATGACAGGGTTTCGGGCTTGATCCCCAGTGGGGGGTGTGCAGGAGGCAGCCAATCAATGATTCTCTCTCATCATTGATGTTTCTCTCTCTTTCTCTCTCTCCCTCTCTCTCTCTCTTTCTCTCTCCCTCTCCCTTTCTCTGAAATCAATAAAAATATATTTTAAAAAATAAAAAACAGGTAGTCCAGCCGGCATGGCTCAGTGGTTTAGTGTGGACCTATGAATCAGTAAGTCACGGTCCAATTCCTGGCCTGGGTTGTAGACTTGATCCCCACTGTGGGCCAGGCCAGAGGCAGCCAATCAATGATCCTCTGTCATCATTGATGTTTTTATCTTTCTCTTCCTTCTTCTTTTCTTTCTGAAATCAATAAAAGTATATTTTTTAAAAAGAAAAAATAATAAAATAAAAAGCAGGCAGAGTACAGAGCAGCTTTGGGGAAGTCTGAAGAAAAGTGAAATAGCCAGGATAGAGTAAAGCAGAGGCAGTGAGCAGGGCCCACGGCATTTCTCAAGATCCCTAGGACAGACCTAGCCAGTTTGGCTCAGTGGATAGTGTCAGCCTGTGGACTCAAGGGTCCCAGGTTTGATTCCGGTCAAGGGCATGTACCTTGGTTGCAGGCACATCCCCAGTGGGGGGTATGCAGGAGGCAGCTGATCAATGTTTCTCTCTCATTAATGTTTCTAACTATCCCTCTCCTTTCCTCTCTATAAAAAATCAATAAAATATATTTTTTTAAAAAGAGAGCCCTAGGACAGGGGCAGAGGGTAGGATGAGGCAGGAAACGACAGGAACAGATGGGATGTGGGAGTGGGGAGTTGAGGTCAGGGCATACTGACAGGTTTGGGCGGTGACAGGAAGTGCAGGGAGTGGAGCCGGCATGGCAGGTCTGAAGACCAAGGGTCCTTCTTTCCAAGCAGGAGCTCAGAACCATTTGCTAAAAATAATGAATGAGCGAATAAACCCCACCTGGTCTCCGGGGTCGTGGCTGCGAAGTGGCAGCCGTGGGCCTAATCCATCCCGCACACGTGCTCGGTTTGGCTAACTTAGTTTTAACCATCAGAAGTTTCCGCTTCTCTTGAGGAATCAGAAGCTCAGGTAATCCGAACCCACATTCCACCCTGCATGGCCACCATCAGCTGGGGCAGCTGCGTCCTTGCACAGGTCGGCACTCGGCCGTTAGGCCCCCTCCTCTCTAGCTTGCTCTCTCTCTGGCCCCTGGAGCGAGTAAGTTTGCAGCCCCTGCCCTCTGGTCCAGTTCACGTCTACAGCTGGTTTTTCAGATCCCTGATGGCCCAGCTCCTCCCTTCCTGCTCAGTGAATGTGGCCAAGTCCTTCCAACAGTCAGAAAGCCAGCCTCGAGGACAACACGCTCCTAGATGGCAGAGAGGAATTCAGCCCATTTCCCTCCTCCTGGCCGCAGTAAACGGAGCCCAAGGTCACACTTGCTTTCCTGGTAAAACCTTTACCCCGGTGATTCACTGAGCTTCCTATCAAATTGGCACAGGCCCAACAAATAACAATCACACAATGTCTGAGGTGAGCTTGGACCTCCCAAAGTTCTTTTACACGTGTTACTTCTGTTAATCCTCACAGCAGACTGAACGGCAAATGTTTCTGCTCCCACCCTACAGGCGGGGACAACAAGGCTCAGGGTGAGGTCTTAGACTATCTGCAGCCCGAAAGTGAGGGCCTTAGCTCTGCCGGGGGCTAGCTAACAAACCAGGGTGTTAGAAATCCTGCCATCACCAAACTAAGACACAGAGCATAGAGGTTAAGGGTCAAGACCATGATGCTAGACTAGACTGGATTTAATATCTTACCTTAAAATGTGACTTGGGGCAAGTACCAGTCCATGGAGTCTCAGTTTCCCCCTCTGAGAAATGGGGGTAATTTCTCAGAGGGGGAAACTCCAGATTTGGGAAGGTATTGCCTGTAAGGGGCTGAGTTTAGAATCAGTGCCTGGCATGCGATAGGTGCTCAATAGTAATCTCCATACAAGGAAGAGAAACGCAGACATGGGCAGGCACCCATGGGTGGTGCCCTTTTCCCTCAGAGCTTTCCAAGGAAGCACCCTCCTGCCTCCAGGGTTCCAAGGTTTACTAGCCCTCATGGGACTGGAATGTTTTGTCATAAATGAATTACTTTTCCCTGGATCGAGGCAGGACAGAACCCAGGGCTATCCTCCTAGCTCAGGAGCCAAGCGGGAGGGTGAGTAATGGGGGAGGGAGGCGTGGGAGGCAGGGAGGAGAGAGCAGCTTAGAGCACTTGTCTTAAGGACCAGACACCAACACAGGGGGCCTCCATGTGCACTGGGTGTTGGGCTCTTGGTCTTCCTCACGCAAGTCTGCCAGCTCGGTGTTAGTGTCATGTTTACTAACGAGGAAGCCGGAGTGTTGACAGTTGATACGTATGGAAGATCACACAGGGAGAAGGCAGCAGAGCCGGAATTCAAACCCATCTCCAAAGCCCACGAAGGCCCCATCCAGCACATTTTGTGACTGAGAAGGCACACTCCGAGGCACAGAGAGATCTGCTCCAGGCAGACCTCAGTGGCAGGATCAGGCTAAGGACACAGGCATCCAGAGTCCCTTGGACTCCGTAAGTCCCATCATCTCCTATCCTGGGGCGCGCGCGCGCGCGCACACACACACACACACACACACACACACACACACATGCAGTTATATTCACGTGCATACACACACACACATGCAGTTATACTCATATTCATGTGCATAAACACACACACATATGCAGTTATATTCACGTGCACATACACACACACACACACACACACTCAGGCACGCTCACACTGTCTCACACACACTGTCTCTCTTCCCCCCACTTCCTCGGCCGTGCTCCTGACTGCCTTTACTTTTCTTCCCAGAGGCTGTCCCTTCTTTCCATGGACCTGGGCCTCCGTAAGGTGCAAACAAGCAGGGCTACAGCTTAGGGGCAGAGGCTGGCTGGGGAAGGTGGCAGAGCTGAAGCAGGGGAGGAGGGAGTTTCCAAGAAACAGCACCTCCCGGCTGAGGTCTCGGTTCTGTCCTCTCACCCACTAAAGGAGCCCTTGCCAGGTCCCCAGTGACTTCCATGTTGTCAAACCGCATGGACCCTGGTCAGTTCTCACCTCTCTGTCTGTGGGCCCCCCACACTCCGCCACCAGGTCACCGCCCACGTTCTCCTTCCACCCCTCTGGCCGATACTTCCCAGGCCCCTTTGTGTGCCGTTCTTCACTCTCTCTCCTCAGCGTATTGTCTCCTCACATGCACTCTCACTGAACAGATCTTTAACCACCATCCATATTCTGATGAACTCTGACTCCATACTTCCAGCCCAAGCTTCTGTCATGAGCTCCAGGCCTCTAGAGCCAACACCCCTTAGATTTCTTCCCAGGCACCTCACCTGATCATGTCCCAACTGGCTTGACCTCTCGCCGTGCTGGGCCCAGGGCTCAGAATGGCCCCTCCTTGATTCCACTTCTGTGGCTGCCTCAAACGTGTGCTTTCTTCTCTATCCCTGGCCCATTCGCCATTCTCTATCATAGGTCTTTGCAACAGTCTCTTAACTGGTTCCCCTCACTTCACTCAGCCTTGTCCATTCTGCTGAGACTCCACACTACACCCAGAATGTCCTTCTAAAAATCCAAATCTGGCCGCATCATTCCCCTGTTTGAAGACCTTCAGTGTCTCCCCATTGCCCTCAGTATTCATTCTCAAAACCTGACACTTGCTCTGGCCTGGTTAGCACACTGGCCTGCACACTGAAGGGTCGTAGGTTCGATTCCTGGTTCAGGGCACATACCTGGATGATAGGTTCTATCCCCAGCCCTAGTCAGGGTGAGTGCAGGAGGCAATCGATCCACATGACTCACATCGATGTTTCTCTCACTCTCTCCCTCCTTCCCTCCTCTCAGTCTCTCTAAAAATCAATGGGAAAAAATATCCTCAGATGAGTATTAACAAAACAAAACAAAAAAAAAAAAAGAAAAGAAAAAACACGACACTCAACATTCTCCCCAATCTTTTTCCTCTTGGTCCCCCTTCTCCCCATTTCCAGCCATGCCCCCTGACACTCCCAGCCCATGATTTTGTTCTGTCTCCACAAAGTATGAGCCTTTTCTCCCCCAAAAAGACGGTGAGAAAGGCAGAGCTCTCTCCTTACTTTCCTGTGCTTCCCCCTCGGGCTCCGGATCAGAGGCGGGGAATGGGCAATGTGGCCCAGGAGGCCAGCAACGGGAGGGGGTCATAGGTTGCCCTTACTGAGCCCCAGCCTCGTGAAGTCTTGGGTTCCTGCCCCTTCCTCAGAGCCCCATCATGACACTCACCATCATGACAAATGTGCTCATGAGCTCGGCCAGGAACTCTCGCACCATCTCCTTCTGCAGGATCGCTTGCATCCTTATTACCACGGGCGACGAGATCATCCTGCCCCTGCAGGTGGACCTGGAGCAGCAGCCCAAACCCATAAGCAAAAGTGAGACTCAGTGTACTTGCTACCTACTCATCAGCCCTTTAACTCGCGGCTGAGT